TTCTCGCCGTTGAAGCCCGAGTCGCTGGCCGGCACGCCTCCGGCAAAGTTCTGGGCCGAGGGCGACGGCGATGGTAGCGGCGACTCGTGCCGGCTCACGCCCCCGCGCTTCTCGATCTTGGCTGGCCCGGGCCCCGACGAGCCGGCGTTGGCGGCGCTGAGGTTGGAGCTCTGGGATGCGCTGTTGCCGTTCTCGTACTGGTTGGCGATCGACTCTTTGCTCCTGGCCCGCGACAGGGGCCCGTCCGCCGCGTGCTGCCCGTTGGTGGCGTCGGCGGTGGCGGCGTCGTCGTCCTGCGTCTTTGACTTGCCCTTCTTCGACGAGCCCCCCATCATCTTTCCGAGCGATTTGAACATGTCCGGCGGCCTCTGACGGTCGGAGGTGGCCGGGCGGTTATGTGAGGGAGGTCGGTCGGTGGGTCGAGGTCCGGCGACAAGCTGGGCTGGAAGCAGGAGCTGCAGGTGCTCGCAAGGGTTAGGTGGGCCGCGAAAAGCTCCAGTGGGCCGAGAACGAGGGGCGGGCGCTCAAAGGACGAGGGTGAACGCGAAGGCGAACAAGCACTGCCGGTCCTGGTGTCGTCTGAGCCGAACGCTGGCAGGGTAGGCCACTCTCAGGCTCAGAAGCTGGCGTGCCGGAGCAAAGGCTGCCGGTAGTGGAGCGTCTCGGAGCTGCTTCGAGGAGCTCTAGGGATGGGGCGTGGGACGGCAGGGATGCGACGGCCGGGACGAGAGTGAAGAGGCGAGGCTGCTGGGCGTCGGCGGACGCGACGAGCAGCGATGAGGTTTATGCTGCGACCGAAGGATGCAGGGGGGCAAGAGGGGCTCGAGCGTGGTCGAGACGGACGACAAGCGGGTGAGCACAAGCGGCGGTCCAGAGGCCTGCTGGATCGGGTGACCGAGGTGAGCCGGCGGGTGCGGTTCGCTCTCCAGGTCGATGGACGTCGGGAGAGGCCAAAGAGCAGAGCAGGCGTAGATTGCGGGCGAAACGAGGGCTCGCTGGGTGCACGAGGCGGAGTGGAACGAACGGCAAGCACGACAACGATGGTATTGGCAGCCAAGAGGCGGCGACGATGAATGCGCCGAACGAGCAGAGAGAGGGTGGTTCAGGCGGTGGCGGCGATGGCGATGGCGATGGCGATGGCGACGAGGATGGATGGATGAGGATGGATGATGGTGACGGTGACGGTGACGGTGACGGCGACGGTGGCCGGCGGAGTAGTCTGCTGCTGCCGCTGCCCGCCGCTTGCTTGCCTGCTTGCGTCGGTCTGCTGCTGCTGGGTGAGTGAGAGAGGGCGGGGCGGGGGCGAGGCGAGGCGAGGGGGCGTGTGCGTCGAGCCCTCGCTGGCCTGGCCTGGCCTGGCCAGGCAGAGAGAGAGGCTCGCTCGCTCGCTCGCTCGCGCGGTCGGCCGTTCGGTCGTCGGGGGGTCGGCCACGGTGCGTGCGTGCGTGGGTGCGTGCGAGCGGTGCGTCGTGTTTTCGCTAGGCCAGCCAGCGGGCAGGCCAGCAGGCCAAGCTAAGGCCAGAGGCGGGCCAACTCGACCGACCCTTCCAGCCTAGGCCGCTGCCTGGCTGGCCCCTGGTCGCTTCTTTGGCTGGCGGAAAAGCGGCGCCGACTTGAGAGGCCTGCCTGGTGGCCAGGCAGCGCAGGGCAGCGCAGCGCAGCAGTTCGCGGGGCGGGCGCCGGGGTTGTGGAGTTGCTCGCCTTGGCTCGGAGCAGCCGCCCGGACCGAGCGACGCGGCAGCCAAGCGGGCAGGCAGGCTTGGCAGGCAGCAGGCGTCGGGCACCCCGACCAAGCGCAAGCAAGCTCGCGGCAGAAGAGAGGGGGCCTGCGCGAAAAGGGGGGTGCTCGCGGCACCTCAGCAGGCTGGCAGCGGCAGCAGAGTAGTCGGCAGGGGCCGGCCGCAGAAAAACCAGCACCAGCAGCACCAGCGCGAAGGGCGCCAGACCACGGCATGCCCTCGAGCCTCGACCTTGGCCCTTCTAAGAAAGCGAGACGAGGGTCAAGTTAAGGCCAAAGCAGATCGAAAGCAAGAATCAGCAGCTCAATATCGGTGAAAAGTCAGTCCAGCGGCCGAGCTTCGAGACAAGTCCGCAACGGGAAGAACCAGCGATATGCCGTAAATTAAAGCACGGTCGCCCGAGCCCTGGCGAAGAATTCGTACATTGGCTCCTCTGCTTGCATACATCGACGAATCGGCATCACAAGCAGGCAGGTTGGCGCAAGCAAGCAAGGAGGGCTGGCCTCAAGCTCGCCGCGCTCTTCATGCGACGCCGACGCTGGTCAAGCACCGCTACGCAACAGGTCGAGAGCGGGGGAGAGCGAATGGACGGACGGGCGGGTGGAGTCTGGCTACGCCGGCATCCCGAACCGATTCGATCCGGAATGGAGCAGCCGTCGGGACCACCGACGACTACCGCCGTGCGTCGCTTGTCAAGGGACCCTCGTGCTCTCCAAGGCGCTGTGACAGGCCGCCTGCCTGCTTTGCGGCGCGAGGCGGAGCTGGGCGGTTCCGTCGGCTGGCTGGCTGTTGGTCGATGGGCGGCGGTTCCGCCTGCGCGGTCGGGCCGCGATGGACCTCGCTTCTCGGGCGCCTCTACAGCGTCACCGGTCTGCACCATACCGTACCGTCGCTCGTCGTCACCGAAGCCGGTTGCCACAGAGCAGCGCCAAGCTCGCAGCCCGGACCGGGCCCCGAACAGAGACAAGAAGAGAGTGAGGGAGAGAGCAGGGCGTGGCGGGGCGGGGCGGGGCGGGGAGCGCTGGCCGGGAAGCGCCTGCCGAGGATGCAGTCGGGCACAGCTCCCCGACGACAGGCGGACGGCGCTCGACGCTCTCGGCACCCACCGCATCCGACATCACCACGTCCACATCTCGGTCCACCCGCAGGCACGTCACATCAGCGGCTCATCAGACGTCGGGCGCGGCGCATACGGCCTGGGGTTGCTTTGTACTCGTGGATTTTGGTTGGTGGTGTCATAGGATGCCTCCCAACGCGTGCCGGCCCGTCGGGCCAAGGCAGGGTCGGGTGCAAACGGTCGGTTGGCCTAGAGGAGATGTTACAGATGTCGCGGGTGATGGTGATGGTGATGGATGGTGGTGGCGCAAAGAGCAAGAGCGAGGAAGGCGCGCGCGGGAGCGCAGAGAAACAGGCAACAGCCACAGCGGCGGCGCGAAGAGGGCGGCGGGCCACGACATCGGGAGAGAGGGTGCGGGCGGAACGTCGAGGGCGGATCCAGGGGCGGCGGCAATCGTCGGCCAACCAAGGGGAGGGACGGGGTTTTGACGGCGCGCGTCGTTCGACGGCATGGGCTGGCTCAGGACGACACCACTCGCCCCTGCCACCCAGACCGTCGAGTCCCTCCCGACCGCTGCCGTCCCTCGAAGCCGTTCCGTCGAACCAAGCCCGCCGTCTCTCCCTTCTGGCTGGGGCGACCGTGCTGGCCGTCAGCCGTCGAGGCCAGGGCCCAGATCAGCGTGGCCCCCACCGCCATCGCGCCGTCGAAGGGGGCGTTGCGGGTGTGTTGGAGTTTTTTGTGTTGCAAAAGCCGTGCGGGGAGATATGAGGGGGAAGAGACAGGGATATGCCGAGAACCGGGACCAGAGAAACAGGGGGAAACCTCGAGAGGAATCCCACCGTTTAGGCCTGGACGGTGCTGAGCAGGTCAGAGTCACCGGCGTCGAGGACGGTCATGACACTGAGGGTGGGCAGAGGGGGCGGCAGCGGAAGGGGAGAGAGAGGGACGGGGTCAGCTTCGTCGTCGAGTCGTCCACCGGAGCAGCAGCTAGCCAGCCAGCCACACGCCGCACGCCGCACGCCGCACGCCGCACGCCGCTTCCATCCAGCACGGCATGCCACAACCGGCAGCTCGTCGTGCCCGTGTCCATGTCCGAGTCGCCATCGCCATCGAAGTACGCCGCCAGTGGCCATGGCGCGCCATCGGCATCGGCGTCGTCACGGCCGACCGGTGGAGCTTCGCCGCATGCTCTGACGGCCCCGTTGCGTCCGCCGTCTGACCCTGCCTCCTCCTCCTCCTCCTTGGCCCGCCCTTCGTGTGCGCAGCGCGTGGCGGCACCCTCGCGCCTCGACAGCCAGAGGCCTCGCAACCACCAGCCGGATGCCTCCATCGTCCAACTCTTCCTCCCTTGTCCGCCCTCTGCGGCACATGTGGCGCAACCGTGGCTGACTGGCGGCGGCCGCGGCAGCGGAGGCGGCGGCGGCATGGTGGCGATGCGGCACGCCGCTCGCTCGACGGCAGGATACTAACCCGACGCGGAAGAGCTTTCCGGCAGCGGTGCCGAGGGCGACGTTGGAGCCCTGGAAGTGGTGGACGCTCGTCTTGGAAAGCATGGCGTAGTACTCGATCTCCGACTTGCGCAGGGGAGGCGTGTTGGCCGAGATGAGGATGAGCTTGGCCTTGCCGTTCCTCATGCTCTTGAGCGCGCTCTTGAGGCCGAGAGTGACCTTGCCGGACTTCATCACAAGCTGCAGCTTGGAGTTGATGTTGTCCTGCGAGGACTTCTTCGACTTCTGTGCGACGGGGGCCATTTTTCTGTGGGGGGAGGGCGTCGAAGCAAAGGGCGGTGGAGGACGAGCGGCGGCGGCGGCGGCGGCAACAGAGAGTGGTGTGAGGAGCGTAAGTCAGGGATTTCGCTGGAGTGGGTGGTTGGATCGAAGGGCCTCGTTTCCGGCGCAAGGCCCGGGTCTTTGGACAAGACTGCGAGTGCTCCTTTGCCAGGCTTGGTCGGTCGATCAAGCTTTCGGCACTGGCGGGTGCGTCTCCTGCGTCTCCTGCGTCTCCTGCTCTCCCATCGCAATCGGTCTACCAAGGAGCGGCCAAACAAGGATCCTCGGCCTGGCTTCTCCAGACGGGCAGAGGTTCCCCCGGGAGCCGCCGTTCAGAGGTCGTGGGACAGCGCAGCAAGAGACCGCAAAGATCCAGTCTCCCGGCCTTCGAAGCCGAGTCGAATGCCGCAGCAGGGGTCGGCTACCGCTCGAGATCAAACCCGTCGCAGTCGATGCCGTCGGTGCTGGCGTTGATGCTGGTGCTGGTGCTGGTACTCGTGCTGACTCGGAGCGGATGCCGGTGCCGGTGCTGATTTCGATGCTGATATCGACGCTGCCTTCCACGAGTGTCGCCGTGCTCATCGACACTTACGCTACGTGTGTCGGGGGAGGGCCGGCGGGTCGGTAGGGGAGGGTATGCGGGGGGGTCTTGAGGACTTGGAGGTGGTGACGGGATCCAGCAGCGAGCGTGATGGCGTCGGGAGCCCTCCTCTCCTTCCGACGTTGGCTGGGCCCGGGCAGCGCGGCGGCTGGCCCAATTGAACCTGGCCGGGACCCGATTAACAACTGGCCCCGAGTTGAAATGCCCAGGCCTGCTGCAATACAAACGACGACGACCCTTGCCGCCCTACCGCCGAGTTCAGGCTGGCTGGCGGGCCAGGGGGCAGCGGGCAGCGGTCGGCGGTCAGCGTGCCGAGCCCACCCTCTGGCGATCGTTTTCTCCAAAAAGGCAACTTCGGCCGAGGCGCACGTGATGCGAAAAATCGAGCGTCGCGAAGACCCGGTCGCTGTGCGGGCCCGGCTGCGAGGCCCGAGGAGACGGCAAAGAGG